ATCTGCATATCCTGCCTACAACTTGGCGAAAAATGGTTTAGTCTGTTTTGACAACTGGCAAGTTTACAAAATACACACAAACACTCCTTAACAAGTCTTATATGAAACAACAAATAAATTGCATCAAGTCCAAATATAAATGTATTGCTACGTTTTCAATAAAGGAGATTGGATTTATTCAAGGAAAGAATACAAAATCTTTCCTCTCGAATAAGATCCTTCTTATTATTACAACATTTTAAAATAATCTGACAATATCAGATAAAATCAATGAGTTAGAATGTTAAAACTTCATAAAATGTCAATTTCTTACAATTTATTTTTATTGAATTTTATTAAAACCTAAAGTTGTATAACAAGTGAAGATTAGGCTGTTTAAATTAAAATTGCCTTCATTTCTAGAGTAAAGTTTACTCAGCTTTGTTTCAAATAAAATAGTGCAACTTTGCCTAAATGGCCCTTGCACCAATAAACTCTATCATCTACCGTTTATAATAAACGAAATAGAATTCATGATAAATACTTAATATTAAAATATCTATAGCTTAAATGTAAATATTCACCTATCTGACAAAAGAACTTACTCTAATTACTTTATTCAAAATTTAATTGTATAAATGCATTAAAAAAAGGTAACAGAATATGAACCTTTTCAAAAAATATTGGTTCATTAAAATCAAGTAAACCAGAAAAGAATTTTATAGAACTTATTAGTTATTGGTTTTGAAATATGTAATATCAACACTTCTCCTTTGGTTAATATAATTTACATATCTGAAGTAGGGTAGTCAGACATCCAGCTTTGAGCAATGTTCTTTTTCAAATCCACTAAAAATCATTACTGTATATGTAATCTCAAGAAATGAAAATTTTATTTTTTATGAGATTCATAAAAAATTATAATTGTATTTTTGGACTATAAACATATTACAATTTCATATTTCAAACTATAAACATATTACATACTCCAGTATGTTTCTTATAGTTTAGCTTAATATGATAATCCTTATTTTTAAGTTTTGGAAAGTTGAACAAGCACATTTTGAATCTTCCATTTTCATATGAAAATAAAAATAATTTAGGCCAAATTTGGTGTTTAAAAAATTTAGGGGTTGCTACAATGATCTGAAAAGTTGCAATTTGTCATAATGCTAAGCATAAGTTTGCTCACTGTTACAACAGAAATCCAACTTAAGTACAGCATACATCCTAAGTTGTGAATGAAAATCAAGCAAAAGTTGCACATTATAAAAGAAGTTCCACTTCCAAAGAAACTGAAAAGTAAAATTATAAAATCTAAGGTAGAAAATTTTTGCTTCTTTACAGTGAATATGTTACAATGCATAAACACATTAATTTAAAATTTTGAAATCATGGGTTAATTTTAACAAATGATTTTGATGTTCTACAGCTTTGATTTTCATCAAAGCTGTAGAAAGTGCCACTGCATGATGATATATTAAAAGTTTTGTTCATTGTCTGAAAATGCAAAAGAATGCAAATTTGGTGCACAAAAAGCCATTTATGGATATTGAGGTTATGAATAAAAGAGTAAGTTGTCTGAAAGATAAAAGACTATGTATATAGCCTACTGACACACAGGCAATGACCTTCTTTTTGAAACTTAGAAATGAACAGTCTAAATAAGCTGTTAATCAAATAAATTTCTTTTTAAATTTTTGCATTACGTTTTATCACAACAGATATCAAAAACCAATTTACTGATATATATATGATTTTGCACACAAATATATTTTATTAATAGTTCAGAATTATGTATTTACCACTTTTAAAAATGTTTTTCTTAATTTTTACTTAAATTGAATGATTAATGTTTTTTATAATTATTATACTGTAGATGATTTAATAGTATATTCTAAGGATGGTTTTATCTAAGTTTATGGAAAATAAGGTAAAATTCTAATCTCTAAACCCAAAAATTTGGGAAATTTAGATGTATGTGTTTTTTTTTTTATAAATCATTCATAATAGAGCAAATATATATTTAAGAAAATTTTGACTTACCAAATTACTGTTAATGTTTATGCTATTAATAGGCTATTAATAGGCAAAAATACAATAAATTTAATTTTTTAATGAATTTATGTAAGAGTTAAACACCTATATTTCTATATAAAATATAGAAAAAATTTTCAGATTCACTTACAATGTGACATATGCATTTCCAAATAGAAGGAAAAATAATTCTTATACGAATTTTATAGAAAACATAGCAAAAATACTGCTTTATTTTATGCATTTTAATTAAATATTATTGAATTAAAAGTATATGAAAACTGTATAGTGAAGCTCCAATTTAATGAAAAATGTATTAAAGATATAAGTTAAAAAAAACACACATATACACACATTGCATGGGAGAATGTGACATATGCATTTCCAAATAGAAGGAAAAATAATTCTTATACGAATTTTATAGAAAACATAGCAAAAATACTGCTTTATTTTATGCATTTTAATTAAATATTATTGAATTAAAAGTATATGAAAACTGTATAGTGAAGCTCCAATTTAATGAAAAATGTATTAAAGATATAAGTTAAAAAAAACACACATATACACACATTGCATGGGAGAATCTCTTTATTTGAGCTGAATCTTCAAGCCAAAAATTGTGGGCATATTTTTTGCCTGATATTAGAATATCAATTAGCAATATAACTTTCCATAATTAGATCATGTTTACAAGAATATTGTAGTCTTTTTTAATGTAGAACAAATTTAATATATAACACAATTATATGGATTGAGAAGTATCCGGTGCATATTTGTTCTTGCAGTTTCTCACTGCCTGTGCAATAAGTGATTAAAGTACATTTTATTTTTGGCATGTACATATAAGTCCCAGTTGATGATATGATCTTAAATAGTAATATTTGTTAAGTTTAAAGGCCAACAATAAAGTCAAATAAGATCATTAACATTTATCAATTTCAATAAAAAGAAATATGAAATACTATAATATACATTACTGATAAATTTTTGCCAAATAAAAATAGAATAGCAACTTTACTTACAGTGGTATTGCTTTAAGATTATTTGAAGCTAAGAGAGTAATCTTATACAAAATTATATCATTATAATTTGAATTAATTTTAGATAAAAAATATTCTCTCAAAATTATCTTTTAAACTTTAGTATCAAGAAAAACACTTGATAAAGAAACACTATTTAAAGGAAAAAAAAAACTTTACATGGCTTCTTAAATAGTTCCAACTTTACTATAAAAATTATATCTGAAAAAGTTACTTAAGAATAAAAACTTTATTATTATTCTTTCTGAACCCATAAATATCTGTATGTGCTTTTTTATTTAAAAAAAATCAAAATAATTACAAAACTTAGCTTAGAGTAATCAGTATCTTCTAAAACCTGATTATATTAAAACAAATTCTGTTTATTTTGAAATGAAGCTGGAGAACATACATGAAGCTGCATAAAGTTTTTTTTTTAAAAAATTTGCATTGCTATTTAAAAAATTGTCTCTAATAGGAAAATTGTTTTTTAAAATGTCTTATTATAAAATAACTTTGAATTAATTTTAAAATAAGTCAATGAAAATAGTCATAATAAAATATTGTTAGCAAAAAAGAAGTCATCCAATTAATAGTGTTGAATTATTAGTAACAACTCAATATTTTTGTTACATGAAATATTTTAAAATAGGAACAAAGCACATTTGAAGAGTAAGTGTAAAAGATAATTTCTGAAAAATATGACAATACATTTACTAAAAAAATAACAACAAACAATACTTATAAAATATTAAGAACAAATTACAGATATATATATATATAAACTCAGCCACAAAAATAAAATCTGTAAATAAACTAATTTTCATTTCAGAAATATATGTACATAGCTTTATAAATATAAGCTTTAAATTTTTGAAAGCTCCATACAACATATACATATAACATTTTTCTTTATTTTTATCTAAGCAAAATTCAATAAATTCGCGAGAAAAATGGAAGCAACTTTTAAGTAGAAGTTTATAAACACACAATAAATATTAACAATTGACATAAAGTTAACATTACTAGTATTTTAGAATATTTTATTAACAATTTGCTTAACATTTATTTAGATATAGCAACAAGGCTCAAGTATAGTATTGTAAAGGTATATACAGTTGGTACAAACTATATATACTAGATATATGCACATAAAGAGAAATTATATAAATGGATGACTTCTAAATTGCTTTATAAAAAGGCCATTAAATTTATTAAAATTGAATTTATATAGAAATATTGTCTATTTTTAATATATATCCATAGAGATTTATTCGTTCAATATACAAGCATGATGATAAAATTCTGAGACAAATCTGATAAAATAATTATCTATTATAATTTCATGTTAAATATATTCTTGGTTCATAAACTACTCAGTATCTTTTATTGCTATTTTTTTTATAATTTTAACATTAATGCACAAAGTAAATTTTATATAAATTTTTTACCAAAACACCTTTTTAACAAGGATGATATTTTTTAATGTTAAACTGAAATTTATAAATATATATTTTTTTATAATTTAAAAATACAAATATTTGCATGTACCAAAACATTTTTTTTTCAAACTGAAAACATCAAAATTTATATGCTGAATGAAAATTTGAAATTTTTATTACCTTAGTTTCTCACTTAAAATTCAAACTCAATACATTAAAAATTATAATTCAATGATTTATGAGTCCAAGAATATACAGTAAATTTTGAAGAACATTCAAAAAGATTTTATAATCATTGTTAAATATAAAATAATAAAAACAGATTTAACTTATTTAACATATTGAAGACAGATAACAAGAATCTTTTATCAAGAAAATTTCAAACTATTTTAAATATTGAATATCCAAAATTGCCAATTAATATATAATAAACATCCCAAAGCTGGTGGTTTAGTATTAATGCACCAGCTTTGGGATGTTTATTATATATTAATTGGCAATTTTGGATATTCAATATTTAAAATAGTTTTTGTAATTGTCGTAATAGTAACTGTAGAAATAGTAATTGTCATAATTAATCAGAATATTATTTTGCTATAGCAAAATAATATTCTGATTAATTATGACAATTGTCTGGTTTAGTGCCAATTAATATTTACAATTCTGTAAGTAAAACTGAATATAAGTTTTGATATTGCTATGTAGTCAAAAATTCTTTTTGAGTGAATTATTATGAGAAAGATGTTTTATTATATCAACTGAATTTATCAAATATAAGAGTCACAGAACTTTATTGTCAAAACTTGTATATAAGGAATACATTATTGCCAATAAAATTAACTTTTGGTTTGTTCTTCCTGGTTCAATATATTTTCAGATGATCCAGTTTCAGTAGTTGGTGGCTGTGAAAACAGACTGAAAGACCATACATCAGAGCCTGGAGTAGTTTCAGTTGTTGGCAGATTGGGATTCCACAAACTGCTTAGCGCATGAAAGGGGTCAAATCCATTTTCATTGTTCAATTGTGATGAATTCTAAAAAAATCACAAATCATTTTACTAATTTTAATTTTATTAAGCAAGGTCATAGATATTTAGAATTTGTAAAAAAAAAAGTAACTTGGTAATAGTTATAATCCCAAAACAAATTCTACATTAATCTTTAAGGTTATAAACTCTATTTTCCTTTAAAATAATTTCTTAAAATAGTATTAACACACAAAATTACCATAATTTCATGTAAATAACCCATGAGCAAATCAATCTGAAAGTGGATGCATGTTATCTGTTGATTTTAAATTGCAATTACAAATTAATCCAATAGTTTCTCTCTTGTCTAAACTTATTAGAACACCTTTAAAGACATAATTATATCTGCAGCATATAAAGGATTTTTCATTTACTTGTGTTATATTTCTGGAAATCCACATATATGGGTTCCACATGTTCTTAAAGAGAGATGCTCTCTTTGGTGGAATTTTAAGGGAATTTTTTTTGGAGCTTTTACCATACAATTTAACAATTGATTCAAAAGTGTACTGCCATCTAGTAAACAAATTGAGTAAATATCATTAAACAGAAAAGGCAGCCAGAATTGATCAAAACAGGTGTAGTGTTTTACCACGATAATGTCAAATTTCACACAAGTTTGGGAACTGGTCAGAAACTGTTATAACTTAGATGGGACGTGCTATCACACCAACAATATTCGCCAGATCGAGCACACTCATATTATTACTTGTTCCAGTCTATACAAATTTTTTTTAACTGTAAGACATTTACTTGAAATGACAATGTCAAAAATCACTTGGATCAGTTTTTTGTAAGCAACGATCAAAACTTTTATGAATGTGAAATCATTCTACTACCAGAAACGATGACAACAAATATTTGACCAAAATGGTTCATAAATAATTCAACAAAATATTTATTTATTATAAAAATATTGTGTTTTTTTTCCACAGAAAAAAAAAATGAAATTACTTTCCAAACAACCCAATAGAAGTGAAATGTCAATTTTAGCATATGATAATTTTCTACAGTGAATAAGAACTAAACATTTGGCTCTCAACCCTGTGCCATTAATTATTGTGGCGTCTATGTATAACCTTCTTAGTAAGATAATTGCCATTTAACTTACATCTGATAAAAACAATCATTCCACTAAATGCTACATCAGCCACATTGCCAATACTAAGTTGTCTCAATAACAGATGCTTTTCAAACATCAAGCATACCATAGATATTACTGACACAATAATAATAAATGATAAAACAGTTTAATTACTATAGTGTTTATGGAATATATTCTATTTCACTTACACAAGTACCTAGTGCTTTACTGGACCAAGATTAAGACATAGCTACAGAAAAATTGTTATTTTTTTTACAAGCCATTTGTGTATGATTTGTGTATGCATCTATATTTTAAAATTTCCTGATTCTGTGACATATTTAGTATTGCAGCATGTTGTACATGCTGTTGTTAAGCTCTAATGTTTTTAGACTTTGTATATACAGTGGTGCCCAAACTTTTCAGTTGGAAGGTCAAATTGAGTACAAGTCATAGATAGGTCACAAATATTCCTATCTAAAGATGCACAATTAATTATTAAAGGACTAAGTATTGAAATGCTTCATTATAGAGCATTTAATACTTCCCCCTTGTTTTAAAAATTAGTTGAATGAGATCCTATCTGTTTCTGATATTTTTGTCTCCAGGTCCACTTTATTTTGATAACAGATAAAAACAATTTGTGAATAAGTAGATAAACAAGCTGTAGATTAATACAGCCTCCATCTATCTGTCCATGCATGTGTGTACTGGGTTTCAAGAAAAAATTCATAACAGCCAATTTTCATAATCCTAACTTACATTTGTAAAAAAATTTGCTATTAAAAATATTTAATCATTTTTCAGACTACAACTTTTGGTTAATAATTTAAAAGATATGACCTAGAAATTTTTATACAATTCATATGACTAAAGTTTATTTAAAATTTAGCAATATAAGTTTGCTTTTATTTTATTTTAACTTTAAAAATATTTAGATTAAACAAACAAAAGAAAATTAAAAGGAGTTCTTTGGTTAAAATTAAATGGATTCTATCATAATCAGAAATGACTTATGACACACACGCACACAAAGTAGAGACATTTTCTTACAGTGGTACAATCAAAAGATAGGATTATTATATAGTAAGACAAAAGTAGATAGATAACATTTTTATTTTAAGACAATTAAAATAATAAACAATTAATATATTTCTAAATATATTGGTATTATTTAAAAATTAATAACTGGAAGTTTTTACATGTTGATTTTGTATAAACAGTGACCTGTTATATTGTGTGAGGACCCAAAAAATGAATTGAAATTAAATAATTATTATTAGAAATTTATTAAAATGAAACTAGAAGAAAAAATCGTCTATTGTTAAAAACCAATCAAAGTTCGAATTAGTTGTGTTAGTCATATGAAATCGCGACGAGAGAAAAAAAAACTTTATTGATGTAAACAGAACGTAATAATTTTAAATGATTAATTAATAATTGTAAACAAACGACCTCCAGTAGAGATGGACCTTTGAAAAGTCGTTCATATGCACATAATTAGAACATAGAAATTTGGAAAAGAGGAAAGATTAATGACGAAAAACGACATCGCGTCCTGTCGTTAAATTTCAAAAACGTCACAGACTAGACAACAATGGTGGAAAATATGAGCGCAAGTTTCAAAGTTCCATCAACATTTTGCAGCCAGAATAACGGATGGTGTCAAGTAGATTCTTCAAGGCGGATCTTTCTCGTGACTCGAAAAGGAATCGTTTTTCGCTTAGAAACAGACGAGGGAGCCAATCAGAAAACAAATT